TGTTTTCTTTTGTTTGCAGATAAACTTCTCAGCTTAATTAGCTAATTTATTAATTAATTTTAAAGGAATTGGTTTTGAGAAATTAGCTTTATGTTTTCTATTGATTTCGAAAATTGATTGATTAATTGTAGGTAATTTTCAGATTTTGCTATCTTTTTTTGGATATGTGGTGTAAGATTGTTTGAGAATTAGTTTAAACAAAGCAGAAAAGTTATGCTTATCTTCTTTGATATAAGGACATTCTTTTGAGTTGCAATTAAGAATATAGAAATTTGCAAGATGAATATATTCAATTCACCTTTTAGAATAGTTGTTAGATTCCTAAATATTAGTTTCAATTAGGAGCAGTTTTTTAAGTTAGATAATAAATTGCTGTTGAATTCTATCCTTTAAAGCATTATAAACTTTTTGCTGGTTTAAAAGCTCAGCAAATTGGTGATTATATATTGAAAAGAAGTTTTAAACTATTCATTGAAGTGTTCAAATGAATTTTTTAGAGATAGAATATTATAAACTTCCAAAAAAATAGATTTAGATATATTAAAGAGAAGTTAGATGTTGAACTTTTTGTCAAATTTGATGGTTAGGTATTTTTCTTCCTTATCTGTAGTTACTGTAGAGAAGTAAATAGTAAAACATTTAAGAATAAAATTAAAGTCATCAGCAAATTTTTTGTAATTAATTGAATGGTAGTTATCAGATAAGTAAAGGTAAATATGAGCTAAATTAATGTAGAATTACATTTAGTTTTTGGTTTTGTAAGGAGAAATTGTTAAATCTGAGGCAAAGATTGAACTATAATTAAGTTTGGTAAATAGGATAGTTGTGAATTTGAGAATAAGTTTTTTAAGTGTATTTTTGAATATATTGAATAGGATAGTTATATTAGGATCGATATTAGAATTGCTTTTAAATATAAAGTCTGTAAGAAATTTTAGACAAGATCTAGCCATTACTCTAATAATTTGTTTAAAAGTTGCTTTAGAGGCCTTTTGAGTTAGAGTAGCAGCTTTGGTCTCTTTTCCTGGGTAAAAATCATGTAAATAATTTTTAAGAAAATTAAATAAGCTATGTGAAAATGTAGTTTGAAGTTTAGTATTTGCTTCTATAGTTTTAGTAATTAGATAATTTTCAATCTAAACAAATGTTGGAAGAGATTTAGTAGGTTTTTCATTAGTAATTTTATCAGTTTCCATTTCATTGGATTGTTGTTTGTCATTTTTATTTTCAATTGTAGTTTCAGAGATATTGTCTTTTGATTGATTAGTAGTTAGTTTAGATGTAGAAAGTTTTGAAAAGATGGATTTAAAAAGTAAAATTTTTTGTTTAGAAGTCATTTTAGTTATTTTCATAGCTATAAGTACAGATTTTTGTTTAAGTATAAGAGGAGAAGTTTGGGGTTTAATTGTAAGTTTAATATTCTAAAGCTTAGAGATATAGTTATGATATAGTAAGTAGTTTTTGAAAATTATACATTGTATATAATCAGATACATGTTTGGTATCAATAAGATAAACACATAGAATTGATTTTTGTTTGCAGTAAAGACAAATGTGGTGATGTTGAGAGTGAGAAGTGATTTTAGCAGGAGTTGGATTAGTATTAAAATTCGAAAAAAGAATTTTAGAGTTTGCAGTTAGTAGTTGTTATTGTTTTGAGATAGGTGAAGCTTGCAGTTGATCAGTAATTCTGTTAAAATGTTTAGCAGAAATAATTAGAGATGTTTTTATTATAGCTGTTCATAAGATTGTTTGAAGAGAAAGTTTATAATATTGGAAGGTAAAATTTTATAATACTTGTCACAAAGACAAGTAGTGAGTTGAGGCTGAGTAGAAACCTTAAAGTAGTAATACTTTTTAGTTAGACTAGTATCATATGTTTTTGGGTCGATATTAGCTGATAAGACACATAGTTTGTTAAGACTAAGCTCTGTTATTCTAATACCATAAAGTCTCTATATTTCAAGTAATAATAATCGATATTATAGGAATCAAGCTCTTCAAAAATAAGAGAAGACATATTTTAAATATTCTAAGATTAAAGATATTGAAGAGAGCTTTCTGGAGAGCTAAAATTTATTTTGTATAATGTTATGCAGTTGGTACTACACTTGTGACAAGTATAACAATATGGCTGATATAGCTAGTGTGGCTAATGTAGTACATAGTGTAGTATATATAACTTTACTATAAATAGTAAGGCTTTGTACTTCGTATGCTAAAATTAAAAATAGTAATTTTAAAAATAAATATAAGTATTTTTAAAAATTATAAATAATTTGTTTATTTTTAGATTTTTGTCAGATTTGTAATTTAAATTACAAATCTTATATGCAAGATAAATTTTGTACAAATTTGATAAGATTCAAATTTGGTAGTCTGTAATTTATGTTACAATTACAATTTTAGAAAAGGAATTGATTATTAAAAAATAAGAATTTTTGGTGCAAAAAGAAAATTTATAGACGTTTTTAAAGCCATTTGGAATACTAAAGAGCTAAGTTTTTGTACTAAAAAGATGATTTAAAGCTTGATATGACCGGAAAGGGCTAGCCAACAACTTTACTTAAGAGTACAGAAGAGGTTTAGAAGCTAGTTTTAAAGATATTTAAAATTCTGAAGCACTTAGTTTTTTGAGAATAACTCTGCTTAAAAGAAAGCAAGAGTTATAAAACTAGGCTGCTAGGATGTAAAAATATGTGTAAAGCAAGTTTACTTAAGAGCACTTGCTTGGTTTACTTAATAAAATTTTGAAGAAAATTGGTTTTGTTATAAAAATTTTTAGAAAAATTTGGTACAAAGAATCTACAGATTAAGTACGCTTGCTTTAATTATATTTGTTTTAAAATACTATATTTATATAATATTATTATTATATTATAATATAATTTATATATATTAAATATAAATACTTAGTAAGATAATTTATTTTTTTTTACAAATAAATTTGCAGATTATTTGGCTAGCTTTGAAGTTAATTTCAAACTTATTCAAATAATTTGCAAAATTTGACTAAAACTAGTTATCAAATTTGCTAATATTAATATGATAAAAAATTTATTATACTATTAAGAATAAGTATTTTTTTAGATAAAGATATACAAATATTAAGTTTTAATTAAACCTTTTATATTCAATTTGACTTTTAGATTCTAATAAAACTTTTAAATTATGATAATTTTGACTTTCAACTTCTGATATAACTTTTAAGTTTTGAGATATCTTTTGAGTTTCAAGATGACTTTTAAGTTTCAAGATGACTTTTGAGTTTCAAGATAACTTTTGAGTTTTGAGATAACTTTTGAGTCTCAAACATTTTGAAAAAATATTTTTTCAAAAAGCATCCTTAAATACCAATATTTTAAACTAATAAAACTATAATACAATTATTTTTATTACTTCTATGATACCTGATTAAAAATTAAATTACCTAAACTTTGATTTCAATATATAATATAAAATGTTTTTAACTTGCCTCCATAATGAATTAACCACTCTATATAATTCACTAATCATATCACAAGAACTTGTATAACAAAAATATATAAAATTTAAGAAAAATATTAAAAATCGTAAATATCACAAAATTTTATTATAAAAACTAGTTTTAGGCTTTTAAGTAAAAGTTTTCTAACTCTAATATAAGCCTCACTCTAACCCTAATCTCAAAAAATAGTTTACTTATATAAAAAAACTTTTATAATAATAGAGTGGTTAGTTAAAATTAGTTATATTCTATAATATATATACTAATCATGCTGAAATCAAAAATTTATTGAATCGGATAACCTAATTTTTAATCAGGTAGAGCTTGTACCCGCCTAAAAATTTATGCACCAGTTTACTCTCGTTATATCAATATTAACCGGGTCACAACTCGGGTTACTTCAAATGATTCGAGGTAACCTGGTGAACTGGTTGACCCGCTAATTTATGTTATTTTCCCCGAAATGTTATAACCTTGCTCGTTTTTTAATGTTCATTTATATTCTACTTCGTAACTTTTTGGAGTTCCTATTTCTCATCATTCTTATTTAACCAGATACCGGATCAACCGGTTAAGCATAATTTATTCCAGGATATTGTCAAAATAACGGTTCCCAGGTTGTCGGATAAACGGGTACAAGCTCTACCCAGGAGTAACGAAATTAGTTATAATTGGTTAAGAATTTTTTTTTAGTATAATGGTCGGCCTAAGGTTTTGACATCGGCCCACATCACTAGACTCAACCCCATAAAATAATTAGTCACTTCAAAAATTATTAATAAAAATGCAGCATCATCAAAGACAGATTTTCGTACATATCTCAATTAGAATCGTTAAGAAATCAATTTATTTAATTTTTACATACGTAAGTTATATAATTTCGAAAAAATGTGCCACTTTTAATAACAGATAAATATAAATTAACCTGTTTGGCATTTGGCATTAACTATTTATAGAGAATTGAACTCTAGGGTTTTCAGAGGCTGGCCCAAATAGAATTTCAAGTGAACGTGAAGCGGAAACAAAAGACCAATAAGGTGAAATTAGATTATGTTGTATATGAATAGCCAATATATTTATAATGCAATATTACGATAATAAGCAGAAAGTGCATTAATATTTTATTCATGTTAGTTTACAATAATTAATAAGCAGAATCAATTCATAAAAATACAATAATTAGGTCATCTCGAAATCGGGAATAGCATAAAACCGAATTAAAGGTTTAAAAACCGGGTTGTCGAAGTTTGCAACCGAATTGGAGTATTATAAAACCGATTTCATATTAAAACCGGTTTAACCCGAATTTATAGTCGAATTGTAAGAACCGGTTCCGACCTCTACTCCAAACTTATAGTACTGGAATAAAAATTAAACCTTAATATCATATTGCTTAATTTTTATAATTCCAAAATGATTTATGTCAATTTAGAATTAACATGAATTCAAAACGATGTATAACATTTATGTCATATTCTTATCCACTTTTTTAATGCAATTCTTTAAGTTAGTACATGAAAGTATATGCTATTCCTTGTTTAAAGGATAATTTATTCGAGGTACAAAATAATGAGTAACAAGAATCACATTCCTTAAAACCTTTGAACTACTAAATTTCACATTCGCGAATATATCGAAAGAGGAATGAATTATTAGGCGCAGTGAGAGTACACCCAGAGATGGCTTTTTTCAAATTCATGCGCACGGAATTCAGGCCCGCATTATGATAATTTGCTGCTAATGCGGGCCAGAATGGTGAAATTCCGAAATATTCCGAAAACTCCGAAAAATCCCATGCGCATGATCCATCACTAGTGACACCTCTTGGTATACATTGTGTATTAAAAAAGGAATCGTGTAACTGTCATTATTTAATAAAGTGTATTATATATCGATATGGACACAAACTTTTTTTCTCTACCGTTATACCATTAAGATGCCACGAACGAAAGAGCCTTACTTGAAAGAAACATCACCATTTATTCCCAGTCAGAGTTAGGGATGGCCACGGTCGGTCATTTTCGGTTAGCCGTTTTGTAGCCGTTAGCTGTATCTCGCGATCCAGTACTCCAAATTGGTTAATTTTAGTACCATTCGAATCGTCTCATTGAGACTATTCGAATGGTATTAAAATCATCCAATTCGGATCACTGGATCACGAGATAGCCGCGGCTTAGCCGGTCGGCTAAGCTGAGAATGACCGACCGTTGCCATCCCTAGTCAGAGTACTCGTAATTAGAGAACTTATAATCCTGGTCCTAATTTGCAGGATTCTAATAATGAAATTGATAAAAATAATGCATTATACCGAAAAACTATAATCGCTACAAGTATTTCTTGCTTTTCAGCCCTGCTAGTCATTTATTTATTTATTTTTTATTTTAATTTCTTAAGCGATTATGATGAAAATGATGATGTTACAAGAATTCACAAATATTACCAATTATACAGAAATAATTATACTTTTGATTACATTATTGAATCATCTTTCCCTCCATCCTTTTTTGCATCAAAAAGCAATGAAAAGTTTGTTAATGATAATAATGATAACAACTCTTCAATTCAAAACTTTAACCTAAATTTAAATATATCATTACTAAATACAAACTTTTCACGTACTACTCGTGCAATTATCAACCAACTTGATAAACGGCATGGAGATTATCAAGTTATAGAATTTTTTTATAAAAATGATAGTATATCATATTATAATTCGTTAGTGACATCAATTTCTCATGTTAAAAATACGTGGCCTGCAATAGTTGAAATTTCATTCAAAACTTCAGGAAGAAGCCTTGAACCATCAGCAGTGGAGGCATGCGATTTTAGGCTTATTTTTGATAGAAAGGGTTTCTTTAAAGATTTTGATGGATATATTGAAAGAAAATGTAATAGAGTTACAGAGTATCATTTTTATTTGGTCTCTCAGGTTGAGGGAAATACTGATTTAGGGTTGAAATTTTTCCAAGGTGAAAGTATGTTTGCTTTGATTTCTAACAAATTAATCAATAGAGAAATGAGGTAAATATTATTATTTGGTAATTAATTTAATCTGTAAGTTTCTCATTAAATTAATTTTTGAATAAATTTAATTCTTTTATTAGAGATGTTGTAGTTGAAGACGAATCACCATTTCCATCACTTATTCCTACTTTATATGTTATATATTATGACTACTTTAAGATGAAACGCCAAGCGCGAGATATAACTAGAATCCCTAATAATTACCAATTATTACGAGATAAATTAAATCCAAATAATTTTATAATTCAATCAACATCAACTATTTCTCCTTATAATGCAACCAATAAAACTATTCAAGATACTCCACTCACTATTAGAGCTATTATAAAAGCAATCGAATATCCATCAGGAAAATATTATGTTCAAGAATTTTTTTATGAAACAAACGCTATTGACTATTCATATGCATTAACGACAGCAAATTTAAATATTCAAGATAAATGGCCAGCAGTTGTAGAAATTAATTTCACCAGTTCAGGAATTGCTCTGGATCCATATTCTTTAGAAGTTTGTAATTTTAGACTTATTTTTTCAAAAAATGACTATTATGAAGATATTGTGGGTCATATAGAACGTAGGTGCCCCAAAATGTTCGAATACAGCTTTTATCCTGTTTCAAGGGTTGAAGTGAACAATGATATAGGGCTTAAGTTTTTTCAAGATGGAAGCGAGTTTGCAACAATTTCATCAAAGGCACAAGTTAGAGAAAAAAGGTGAGTATTGTACTTTTTATTTTTACTATCGCTATTAAATACCTTTAACATTAATTTTTTTTTTTTTTTTTTTGTGAACTGTTTGTTTTTTATAGAGATATCACTGTTAATGATAATTCGCCATTCACATCACTTATACCTGGATTATATACAATTTATTATGATTATTTGAAACGAAAAAGTCACGCACAGGATATCACAAGAATTCTCAATTACGTTGGAATAGTTGGTTTTGGGCAGATTATAAATATATTATTGAATCGTCTGTATACATCCCTTTTATCATATCAGATGAACATAAATTTGAAATAACAAACAACAATACAACTCTAGATATTAAATTGACCGACGACAAAAACAATAGCTTTTTCACACCAAATCACACTTCACTATTAAATAATGATGACAATCCACTTACTATACGAGCTAATATTGATGCAGTTCAATATAATTCAGGTTATTATAAAGTCCAAGAATTTTTCTACAAACCTGGTTCTCAAGATTATTTTAAAACTTTAATAACTGCAAGTGCAACTGTACAAAGTTTATCACCTGGAATAGTTGAAATTTCTTTTTCCACTTCTGATAAAGTTCTAGATCCATACACTTTGGAAGCTTGTGAATATAAACTTTTTTACTTTGAAGAATTAAATGGTCAAATTGAACGTAGATGTAAAAGAGCTTTGGAAGATGATTTTTATATGATTTCAAAGGTTAGTGGAAGTACATATTGGGGATTGGAATTCACTTTTGGTGATAACAATTCGAATTTGTCCGCACGGACATCTGAAGTAGATTATTGGCCAAGCCCACGAAGAAGGTGAGTACTTATAATTTATTATGATTTGAATTTATAAAATATAAGTTTTTTTTTTTAATGCAGAAATTTGAAATCATTTTTGCTTTAGGGATGTAATAGTCTATGATGACACACCATTTCCTCCAATTATTCCTGCATTATATTCTGTTTATTACGATTATGTGCAGAAAAATAGATAGATATATTAAGATAATTTAATTTTTGAGAAAATCAATTTGTTAAATGACATAAAAAAGAAAAAAAAAAACAAAATGTTTTAGCACAAATCTATACATTGTAAATTAAATCAACAACATTAAAAATTAACTATCATTTAAACTAAAATATCTAATAAAAAAAATTAGAATTTTATTATTTTTCGCCTATGCTATGATTGTCGTTATTGTCAGTATTTTCCATTTCATTCTCTTTTCTAACAAACTCTTTTGCTTCATTTTTACCCTTTTCAACATCAATAGTTGCTATTATAAAGGTAGGTAAAGCGATCAAAGCAAATAAAAACCAATAACAAAATCTTATATTGTGTGTGTAATTTGTGATAGCACCTGACACGAGAGGTCCTGTGTTATGATAAAAAAAAATTGCAATTAAATTTGAAAAAAACATAATATACGGTATATGAAATTGTTCTTACCAATTCCACTTGATCCCTATTTTCATAAAATTTCGATCATAAAATAGATAAAAAAATCAATAATTATAATGACAAAAAAATATATATATAATCAATATAGACATAAACCATTACCTTTGCAGTAATCTGAAACAAAGAGAAAAACTCATTTTCATGACCTTCAGGCAAAATACCAGCAAAACAAGCTTGGCAATAACTTTGTAAAGAACCAACAAGTAATCCAAATAATGCCAAATATATCCAAACTTCCCATTTATATACTAGACCGAATGGTAACCAAAATCCTAATATCGCATATAATGGTAATAAAATCATACCAATACATTCTAATATTATCATTGTTTTAGTTGTTAATTGAAATTTTTGTTGTATAAATAGTAATAAGTATATTCCTATTACTGCACATATTGGAACTTCTATAGCAAATATTAAGAGTTCTTCATCTGTCATCCCAAGATTTTTTTTACCAAATAAAACACAAACAGTTACTATTGTACTTTGACCATCAGCTATAAAAAACCAAGCAAAAAGAAATTTCATGGTTTGCCAAAGTTCACGAGTTGATTTTAATGTTTTTCCTACACGTTTCCATGAATATAAAAAATAATTTACACCTCTGTTAAAAAGTAATTTAAAAACATATTAATATTATTATTAACAAAGAAATTTCAAAAGAAAATAAATAAAATTTACTTAGGTAAAGGGGGTCTGGGTCTTCCAGTTAACCACATCGTAGGAAAAATAAGAAAAAGCTAAATTAATAAGTACATATAAATATGTTATTATACTTTTTTGCGAAAATATTCTTTTCAGGGTTAGTGAATCTACTCATATAATACCAATCATAAGCATGAATTATTATATTACATATGCATGTCTACCAGTACCTGATACCGGTACGTATCTATCAACTCATATCACTAGGGATAATATAATACGATAATAAATATATAATTATTAAACTTACCAACCACCATACACCACAAAGCGCTAAAGCAAGCTGGTAACCAAGGGGACTGTTATCATCATTAACTAATAAAACCATTCCAATTCCTCCAAATATTATTATTAAACCAGCACTAAGACCAGCAACCACGGAATATGAAGATAATTTTGTATTAATTTTGTCTTCCAATTCTCTGACTTTAGTAGTAGGTGTATCAGAACTTTTTAATGCTATAACATCCGAATGACATCGAGAGAATATCGGAATATATGCCAGCCAGAAAAGGGATGCAGCACCGAAACAACAATTTCTAAAACATAATATAATGTAAAATATTATAAATCAAGAAAATATTGGAAGGAAAATTTATTGCGCTTTTCAATTACTGTAATCATTAGTATATTAGATCTTGTTATAGTTTATCAAATAATAAAAAAAATTTTCCAGCTTTTTTTAATTTCGTTTTTACAAAATTTTGAATGAAAATATCTCGATAATGTTCTTTTTATTTTCAATGTTCAAGGCTATTTGCGAATTCTGTAAATTAATAAGATTCGAAATTGGTCTTAAACATTGAAATTGATTGGGATATTATTGAGATTTCTTCACTCAAAGTTTTAAAAAACATTAACGATACTGGATCTTCAATAATCAATAGGGAAAATCAGATATAACAATTTGAATAATATAATTATTAGCTAATAAAGTCTATATTTTAATAATTTTTGATTCCATACAGATTTCCGTGTGGTGTTTAATGAAATCGGAACCGGTTCATATAATTTAACTTCAAATTCGAGTCAAATCGGTTTTAATATTAACTCGATTTCTGATATTTCAATTTCAATTCGGTTGACAGATAAACCGGGTTTCAAAAATGTTTTTTATAAAGAAAAGCGGATCTTTAATTTTGACCAATCAGAATTATCACTAATCAACCCGATTAAATTCTCAATTAGGTTTAGCTTAAATAGGGTTTTTTTGATTAGTCTAAATCGGTTTTTGAATTTACAACCGGTTCCGACCTCTAGCATGAAATTTGCTGACCACAGTAATTTGAAAAGCGCAATAAAATAAAAATACATACGATATAATAGTAAATAATCCAGCCAACCAATAAAAGTCTGGAATAACAAATTATAAAAAAATTTAATCTAATATTGCATATAATAATTTCAGTGCAATTTTAAAACACTTACGAGGATTAACAATAGTTACAAAAGCAATTGTCGAAATTGCACCAACGAAAGAAAATGATAAAAGAAACTTTTTTCGTGAATCTAAAAAATTTACATATATAGAGCTTGTTAATTTTAAGCATTCTTCGTGTTCAAAAATAGTACAAAAGATTAAATTTTGACGCACTTCCATGATCAGCCAGAGAACCACAACTAATGAACAAAATTGCTTGTAGAAGTACAGATAATGAGATTATATATAACGAATATGAATCAGTGTCAACAAAGCTTGAACCGAAATATGCAACACAATGATAATTGGTAACCGTCTAAAAAGTTCATTCCAAAATAGACTATTAGTATTAGTAATTGTTAGTTTAATGGAGATTCAGATATTTCTCCAATAGCTTTTTTGCCGAAAATAGTTACTAATTTAATACAGGGAACTGTGTTAATGAAACTTTTAAGAGTGAATTGTAACTAGGATTCTGCAAGAGTCGGAAGTAGAGATGCAGATGAAACGATTACGGCTTATGTATTAACTAGTTAAGGATTATATAGTAACTATTTACGGCATAAATTGTAATAGTTTCGCCTGCATTTATAGTCGGGAGTAGTGTTTCTAATCGAATAAGGATTATTCGATTTTATTCGAATATGTTTGAATAATATCGATTAATCGAATAAAAAGTTTTTATTCGAATAAACTCGATTAATCGGACAATTATATATAATTTGACGTCTAAAAACGGGTAATTTCGTACAGTAAGTGTAGATGGTCAATGAGCATAAATGCGAGCAGGGTTATTGGAAATTTTCGTAATGATGACAAAGGAAGAGTAAGTCTATGACAATTATATAGATTAATCGAACAATTAATCGAATAAAAATTCAAAAGATTAATTGAATAACTATGTCGATTAGAAACATTAGTCGGGAGGGTACTATTAGAATATAGTGTCTGGCACGGTAATAGTATTGTGTCCGACATCGAGAACTCTAGTTTTTAACTTACCATATTGCAGGGAGTTACTTGATCTAGTTCGTATCCAGCATGACTAGCAAGTTTTTCTAGGACTACAGGAATAAACACTAATAACGAAGTAACGGACATATGTATGTATTTTCATGAATACAAAAAAAATGACAATAGTATTAAGCGGAAAATTACCTGAAATCGCAGCAGTATCGTAAACTCCCACCTATTATAAAAATAATGAATGAAAATATTAATATCGATGCAAAATTTTCGTCAGGCGTTGTATATAATTAGATTTTTAAATGCGGTCAATTATCAAGGTTCATTTTCTGAAATACTTTATTTAATCTTATCTAATACTACATTCGCAAAAAAATAAAATAAAATAAAATAAAAAAAGTAATAAGTGAGCTTACAGCAAAACTATGAAGATACCATCCTATTAATTCTTTTTTGGTAGGAGAATTTAAATCTTCTTTATACAATTCATTTTGAATTATTTCACTATCCTTTTCTTCTTTCATTTAGTTAAAATGCTAGGTTGGAATAGTGATAGAAGACATTCGAACAACGCTGCATAAATATCTATTCTTATGTTACATAATAAACAATATAATAAATTTGATATTTTTAGTAAATGATATACTGTTAGTTTTGTTTATCAATTAAAGGAGATTGTCTCACAATAGTAAATCATTTCTGGTTACACGGATGTTTAAGTAATGTTCATTATTGACAAGTTAATCCTCGCCTCTTCTAAGTCTTCCAAGTTCAGGGTTACACTAGTTGATTTTTGGATTAGGATTATTTGTATAGATTACTTAGTCCAGAGCCGTTGTGTAACCAGACCTCCAGACGAGTTCTATTCTAGACTTTTTCAACGTACGTACATATGAATAGGTTAGTGACACCATTCAAAAAAAAACTGAACTCGATTGTTGTTACTTGAATTTTGATTGGCCCAGTATATATGTTTATTCTTTGGGGGCAACAATCTGAGGGGGGACGTTAAACAACTAATTAACTTTAAACGGCCTTATACAGATTTAAAAAATGAAAATAAAAAAAGTTCATTAAATTTGTCAAGTAGATGTTGTTCAAAGTTTTAAAAAATTTTGGATATCTATTGTCTTTAGATGGTTTGAGTTGTTTGCTAACTTTTGAACAAAATATCTTGACACCACCTAATTAATTTCAATGAACATTTTTTTTTTATAGAATTAAATTAAAAAAATTTTCATTGAATTTGGTTAAGTAGTTGCCGAGATGTCTTCGTTCAAAGTTTAAAAAATTTAAAAAACTAACTACATTTAATCTTTCAAAGTTAAATATCTAGCTAATGAAAATATTTTTTGTTTATCTAGTATAATTCAGCCTTTTATCCTTTAGTTTCGCCTTTTATTAAAGTTCAGATACCATTCGTTTCATTCTTCATTCATTAGAGGTTTCGCCTTTCGTCAGAGGTTTCGACTTTCGCCAGAGGTTTAGTCTTTCGCCAGGGGTTTTGTCTTTCGCCAGGGTTTCGTCCTTTCACCGTTCAGGTTTCGTCTTTCACCATTCTTGAAAAACAGTTTCGCCTAACAACTATAAATCCGAGCTACTGTAGTTAAACTCGAGTTTTGTAGTTAATTATGATGAGTTCGATATATATTTTGCCTTTTTTAAATTAAAAGTTAATTCCTAAATTAGTTTTTTTTTCAATTTAAAAGTTAATTTCATGTGATTCTATTTTTTTATTTTTGCTTGATTTTATTTTTACCGTTATATAATGGAAGAATCATTTAATAAATTTAATAAATCAACTGAATTTACCTCTTTCTAGTATTAAATGCAAGTTCGTATTTTGCAATGTCATGTTTATAAATATAAATATGGCAATACTATTTGTCCCCTCGTTTTTGCTATTCATACCTCCCATGTATAAAAACTTTTATTAATTTAGATACCATCGCTATTTGTACTTCCCACTTTTACTACAGTATTCTTACCCCTCTCCTATATAAAGTACAACGATAATGGTAACATTTAAAACATAATATTCAATTAAAATTTACCTTCGCTCAAGTTCAAGTATCAATATTATTGGGTGCCACACAACTTTCATATGACAAGTGGCTAAAATAATTTTTTTTTACATGGGGAGGGGAGTATGAATAGCAAAAATGGGGGTATAAATAGTAAATATCATATATTTAATACCTATTAGCCTATTAATACATTTGTATAAGTATATTTTGAGACTCGGTTTATTCAGTGTTCAAAGATACAAATTAACTAGTCAAGCAAAATAAACATTCTTAATATTACGTACAAAAAATAAAATGAAACTAATTTGTGAAATATGAGACATTGTTAGGATTTAGATGTGTCCCAGTGAGAGGCTATTACTAGCCTATATTAAAATCACCTATTTTGTTTTAAACTGTAACTGGCCAAAACACGGCTTATCTTTTTCTATTTTTATCTTATTTAATTATATATTATCCATTTTTATCTTCTTTAATGTAAGATGAGGCTTGTAAGGAGAGCAATGTGGCTTGCTGCCGAATTAGGAAGTAGGCTTAAGGAATCGGAGCGATATGTCAATCATAGCGTATACGCTATCGGCTATGTTATGGCTTGGCTAAAGGGAAGTCGAAGCGTATACGCGATATCATATCAGATATAGAACGTATACGTGATAATAGTAAAACGTATACTCGGTGATAATAGAACGTATACGTTGTAGGACATTGAGAATAGAGAATAACAAGGTTAGTCGTTATAGAAATAGAAATGTATAAATATAAGTCCTCTTAGCCTTCCCAAATGTTAGTTATCGAATAGTAATAGGATTAGAATATAAATAACCCTTACCTTATATTCCTTTTCTTTAATAAAGAATCTTTTTGCTTATTAAGAACCGAGTTCTCACGACGTTTAACGAAAGTATTTATAAGAGTACGTTGTGTTTCTTAATTAACATAAAGGAAGTAAGCATTGGGGCCGAATAGACCTTTCACTGAGTAATTAAGAGCCGTATTCTTAACGAACCATATAAAAGTAACATCACGTGTAGTATCATTGTCTAGATTGTTAACAAGATCAATCATTAATTAGATTAGTATAGGATATTACGATTGTTATATCGTTAATTGTGTGATCAACCTTTGGATCACTTTTAAGTTATTAGATTTATTATATGTTCAAGAATAACGCCACCCTTACCGATAACATATTAATTCCGACCCCTCCCTTAAATTATAAATCCCCAATATAAATAGATTATCGAATTCCATCGTTTATATTTACTCATTTCGATAGAGATTAGTTTATTATATCCATACCATGTTAACTATTGGAGCTAAACCGTGCACTGTTACTCGCTCTCCCAATTTACAATAGTAACAACATCAAAAATCGTCATTTCGTTTCTCTTGTTTAACATAGTAGGGATAATAATCGATACTAGAATAGTTGAGAATCTTAGAGAAACGTAATTCATGAGGACAGAACAGTCCATTTACTACTATTCGAAAAAACAAAGAGCTGAAAATAATGTTCTGAGCTAAGCTTTATCGTGTTAACAAATCTCACAGTACATATGTATTCTGAACTAAGCTCTAAATTCTGTCCCTTACGTTAAACATACATTCTACGAAGCTACAATAATACCGATATAGTTTAGAGATTTGTGCTTAAGTTCCGTTCGATACTAAAAATGTAAAATTCGCAACTCTATAAAAGGCTAACTGTTAAGTATTAAAGACTTACAATCACATCAATATTTTATAATAAAATGCTCTTGTAATGATGTCGCAAATTTAAATTATCAAAGGTGATATCACCTGGCGAAAATTAATTATAAATGATATCTAATCCAGTGGTATGATTTTGTATCGTTCGATTTTCCGACATTTGATCGGGAATCATGTGAACATAGTAATGAGTTCATCTCTTAGGCCAAATGATCTGAAAAGTCACTCGAGTAGTCAAATTGATAAAATTTTTTAAACCTACACGTGATTAAACACAGTAACGTTTCACGACATTTTATACTAGTCACGAACATATTTAAGAGTGAAAATTTTATTTATATATTACGTAAAATTCTTAACGCTAATTCTTAAAAAAAAAAAAAAAATGATAGCATTACCAAATGAATGTCTTTTCGAAATATTTGATAACCTCAGATATAATTACGAAAGTTTACATTCCTGCCTTCTTGTAAATCGTCAATGGTGTAGAAATATTGTACCAATATTATGGAGTGAACCATCTGGCTATTTCGATGATATAAGACTCCTAAGAATATGTCTTTCAGTATTAAACGATGAAGAAAAAGCTTTATTAAACCCCTTTAAAATTATTTTTCCAAATTTTTCGAAACCATTATTATTTAAATACACAAGTTATATTACACTTATTCATACCAATTATTTAGGTATTGGAATCAAAAGATGGCTTTATGGTGCTGATAAACCTTGTGCCTTAATATTTCTTAAAGAAAAAAGGCTTGTAGATGCCATTAAATGTTCTTTGATTTCAATGTTTATAAGAACAAGTGAGAAACTTAAATATTTGGAATTTTGTGGTGTAATTTATAATAAAATAATCCTTGAAAATCTTTATAACAACTCTACGATTACTTCTTTAAATCTTGATAATAATCATTTTAATTTTGAACAAATTAAATTATTAACGGAGGTTCTTTCTAAAAATACCACTTTGAAATCTTTATGCCTTTATAAAAATTCATTTGATCCTGAAAGTGGAAAGATATTTGCTGAAGCTTTTTGCAAAAATTCCTCTATTACTTCCTTAAATCTTCGTTATAGTTCTCTTAACTCTGAAGGTGGAAAAGCATTGGCTAAAGCTCTTTACATTAATACTAGTATGACTTCTTTGAATCTTGAAAGTAATCAACTTGGTTCTGAAGGTGGGAAAACTTTAGCAAAAGCTCTTTATAAAAACACTACTTTAACTTCTTTAAATCTTTATGATAATCAACTTGATTCTGAGGGTGGGAAAGCGTTAGCAAGGGCTCTTGATATAAATAGCGCTCTTACCTTTTTAAATCTTAGACAAAATCATCTTGGTTCCGGAGTTGAGAAAGCATTAGCTGAGGCTCTTCGTAGGAACACAAGCCTAATTTATTTGGATCTTGGATACAATCAAGTTGGTTCTGAAGGTGGAAAAACATTAGCGAAGGCTCTTTACATAAACAATACTTTGTCTTCATTAAATCTTTATGGTAACCAACTTGGTTCTGAGGGTGCAAAAGCATTAGCAAAAGCTCTTTGCATAAATACTACTTTAACTTCCTTAAGTCTTGGACAAAATCAAATTGGTTCTGAAGGTGAGAAAGCATTCGCTGAGGCTCTTAGCAAGAACAATACTTTGACTTCTTTAAATCTTGTATACAATCAATTTGGTTCTGAAGGTGGAAAAGAACTAGCAAAAGCTCTTTGCATAAACAATACTCTAACTAATCTAGATCTTTATGGTAATCAAATTGGTCCTGAGGGTGCGAAAGCATTAGCTG